ATATTGCAAGGATTTTGAATGTTTGCAGGCTGATTATGACCCGAATTGGCGCACCCCACTGCTGGAAGGTCTAACAGACCCTAGGAAAGTTGCCTCAAAAGCAATGCACCATTATCTCCTGAAATACACCTCAATCAATTGAGAACTATATCGGTGGAGGTCCGATAGGATTTTGGCATGCTTCCTAGGTTGCGAGGATGATATAAAGGTCATGGCCGAGGGCCACGAAGGTGTCAGAGATGCCAATAGGGCCGGACCCACTGTGAAGTGGATGATCCTCCGAGACAGCTATTTTTTGCCACGAGTCTCGCAAGAATGCATGGATTATGCTCAGGGATGTCCAACATGTTAGGGCCATGGACTACTTCGACGAGTGCTTGTGGAAGAACTTCATTCGATTATCAAACATTGGTCTTTAAGTGGATGGACGATGGACATCATCGGCAAGATCTATCCTTCATTTTCCAATGAGTATTGCTTCATTCTCGAAGATGTTCCATTGGCCAAGGTACAACATAATCATGTCATACATTTTATTAAAAATAACATCATTCATAGGTTTGACATTCCCAAGACAATAACCACCGACCAAGAACCACATTTATGAGCGCGAAGGCTAAAGATTTTATAGCCCAATACAAGATTCAACTATTTCATTCCTCCTCGTATTACCCTCAGACTAATAGGCAAGCCGAGGCGATGAACAAAATGTTGATTTTCATTATCAAGAAGGCATTTGAGGACCATCTGAGGGGTTGGCATGACATGTTAAAGAAGGCTTTGTGGGCATATTGGAACATCATATCCTCCGTAATCGGCAGCACCCATTATAGGATGATTTATGGCTATGATGTTGTGCTTCCGTTGGAGATTGCAGTGTCTTCTCTCCAAATTTTGAAGAAGAACCAGCTGCCGGTGGAACAATAGGACTAGGCCTTGCTCCAGGAGCTCGACGCTTTGCCCGAAGAGAGGCTGTAGCCCTTCAATGCATTCAACCTTAAAATAAAAGGGCCGAGTCGACTTTCTGGAAGCACGTAAGGCCTCAGACTTTTGAGGAATGTGATATGGTCTGGAAGACTATCCTCGAGGAAGGTTTCAAAGATGCAGAGCTGGAGAAATAGTCCCCCACATGGGAAACACCATTTATTGTATTGGCCAAGTCATCCAATTCCGCGTATAGGTTGATAGAGCCCAAAGGGGAGGAGTTGAAGACGTTTATTAATGAAAGACATCTTAAAAGGTTCTATCATTCTCTTTGGGAGCTAGAAGAAAGGCATGGTCAGTCAATCATTGAATGCTATGTTGCAGAATGAGAAGAACAGATGGATATGTTGAGTAACTTTTAACAAAATTATCCGAACTAAAGTTAATTTTATCCGAATAATTTTGTAAGGGGCATTTATACACACCAAAAAATAATTGGGCCAACCCAGTACAGACACAGTCCAAAATGGAGGTACGCGGCCTAGCAAAAGTTCAAATCAATGAATGGGCTTGCAGATCTGTCCAACCCATTGTGTGAAGCAAACTAGTCTATGAAGAAGCTTGTTTGGGAGGTCAGCCGGCTGAATGAGAGTGAATTTGTTGGAGTAAGGAGGTTGTTAGAGGAAATATAGGGATAAGACTTTATCCAAACATGATTAAAAAAATAACAAGATTTAAAGAAGATCAAGAGAAATGCGATACGCCATTCATCATTCACCTTTTTTTTCTTTAATTTTTTTCTCTGAATTACTTTTTGTGTATTTTTCCTATATCTTTTTTTTTTCTATCTTTCTTTAAATTAATTTACAGCTTCATTCTTATTTTTTTTCCAGCTTCATTCTTATTTATTATGCCTTCTTTTTACATTAATTTTTTTATCATCGCGAGATAGTCCGAATTTTTTCTTGAGGAGGCTGGGGAACCTTTCGAAACAAATCAATTCTGGTTGGTTTCCGATTAAGCTGCTGGAAGTAATTTTTTATGACATCAAGATGAAAGAAAAATGAGATTGCTTAGAAGCATGAACTTTGGCTAGTACCTTTCGAGGACTTAATGGTTCATAGGACCAAATTATTGTGTTCCAGTAAGTGCATGATCATTATATTGATGTTGAGCACAATATAGGGCTTAACTTGAGATTTACACTGGTGTACTTCTCCATTCCGGAGCTGAATAATCATCTTTATCTAGATAAATGATATTGCATCGTTGTCTATGACTAAAGATGATACCAACCGTGGTACTTGGTAGACCATGCAATTCCACACTTGTATTGAGAATTGTCGAGGGAGAGTTTTCTTAAAAAGAGACTTGTGTTTTTCAATGAGTCTGAGCAACTGTACCCTATGGATAATACAGATGGATAATATAAGAGGATACACATGGATAATAATACAGATGTGTGAGCATACACTTCTAGCTACATTCTCTTGTTGAATGAGATTGTGCTGCTCAAGTGGGAGAATAATACAGATGGATAATATAAGAGGATGACTATGTGTCATCTTGCTAAAAGTTCACAACAACCATTATTTAAGAAGGAGAATGACAACGCTCCACGTTGGTTGGTAAACCATGATTTGTGTACACACTACCGTATGACCGAAAGTCAACGAAATCAAGAGGTTTTCTCTCGTCCTTTTGTTGGAGTGAGTTTCTTTGTTTATTTTTTTTCTAGTGATTATTGGACACTTCTTTGTATCTTAGGGGCATTCCACTTGTTTTAATGATAAGTATTCTATGGCCACATTGATAAGGGTCAAGAGAACATCATTCAACAAATGGGTGATCTTGAGTACGGAGATTATATTACAAAAAGAAAAGAATTTGTAACAGTGTGTTTGTTCAGGGGATTAAGTTTTGAATTTGGATTTTTGAGAATTTTGAAGTATGAATTTTTAAATTGTGTTTATTTGGGGATTTGAATTTTGTAATAATTATCTTGGAAAAATATTATTTTTTTATTGAAAAAAATGAAATATTGATGTGAGAGTTTGAAATAAATAATATCTAAATAATAATGGAAAATAAGGTTGATTTTATATTTCTGAATTAAAATTAAAATTATTTTTATATTCAAAATATCAAATCAATATTCATTTAAATCTTAACAAAAAAAATTCAAACCCCTAAACAAACACACAAAACATATTTTTTTCATTTTTAATATTTTCTAATTTTTTAAATTTTAATTTTATTTGAAAATTGTTACTTTTAATTTTGATTTTATTTATAAATATATTTATTATTTATTTTGTATAAAAATTATATAAATAATAATAATTGATTAAATTTTTATAATATAAAAATAATTAAAATAAAAAATATAAATTTTTTAAATAATTAAATAAAATTTTAAGTAAAAATCAATTATAAAAAATATTAATATATTTTTTAATAATATAATTGAAATTAAATATAATTATATAATAAAATTTTAAAATATGAATCATTAATGCATAGTATTTGTTTTTTGTATTAATATTAATATTATTTCAAATTTAGTTTAAATTAATAATATGTAACAAACATATTTTTGCCATAATCGCTAATCAAGTCGTAGCCGCCCTGGTAGCTAGGTTATTCCTCTTTCTCCTTCTTGCTCCCCAATTCTCTCATTTCTTTCTTTTTCTTCACCCAAAACTTTCACCTTGCTGTTCCATCATCGTTCCGACTCCCACCTTGCTGCTGCCGATTCGAATTGAAAACCAACGGTTTATGGTTTAAAGAAAAGAGAAACCGAAACTGTTGGAAAAACCCGTTTCGGTTCGATGACAGTTCCGGTATCGGAACCGCTGGTTTGAAACCGGTGAACCGGAAACTGCCGGTTCGAAATCTATTGAGCAGATTTGACAGATCTCACGGCAGGGAGACCGACTATTTCTGCAAGAAAGAAAAGCTACAAGTTCAGCCAGACACGTAAGGTGTAAGGGTGGGATTTTCATTTTCAATTTTGTACAGTAATTGTACAATGTTTCTAAGAGATAATCCGCCAAACAAACACACCCTAAAAGAGTTTTCATGCATAATGAAAATCATGACCATGTATATTGCTTAAGAGCAATATGGGATTTTATGATGCATGAAAATAAATCCGGTAAGCACGGTGTTTGAAACATTCAAGAAAGCTTAAGCAATAGCTGCTTAAACAAGCAAAATACAAAAGAGTATGAATGTGGGCAATTCTACGTACAGAATCTTGGGGCAATTGTGCCACAAGTGAGATCTCTATCGTGAAACATTAGGGACATGAAAAAAAAGGTGTTGACAAAGAAAGTCTAATGAGTGCTCCTAACAAACTCTCATTGGATGTGGTCAATCCAGTACCCTAGGTCACACTATCTAGCTTTCACAAATCCATAAAAAAAATAAGGTATAGACTTGAACCCTTTCCGAGTGGAAGACTGTGATATCCTGCGTAAGCAAATGTGCATGATAATTCTAGTGCGATTGGGAGTTTGTTGGAAATATGTGAGCATATGTGCACACATAAACAATATGCAAGAATATCATGATTAAGTATAAGGTGGCACATTACTGGTAAGCACGACGTGTCCAAGCATGATGTGGCATATTGCTAGTGAGCACGAGGTATCATTTCTTCAACATGAAGAAAGCTTAAGCATCATGTGTCCTTAAGCACGAGGTTTCCTTAAGCATGATGTCTTCCTAAGTATGAGGCGGTCTTAAGCACACGTCTCACTTTATTATTTGTGAAGAAACCTTTAAATAGGATGTGTCCTTAAGCACATGGTGGCGCAATCCTAGAAAGACACATCAAGTACGATGTGTCATGTGGAACAAGTGTTACATTGTGAACATAAACATTGAGCACGATGTGTCGTATCACATGCAAGCCAAGTGTTGCGCTATGAGCAATATACACCAGAGACGATGTGTCACGATGCATGGAAATTACGTCACAATGAACTATGCTTAGGGTTAAAATATCTTGTGTCTATAAATAGGAACACATTCCCCTTCATTCAACAAGATTCTACATATAGAAAATAAAAGAGAATTATGAGGAAGTGGTGGTAAAAACGAGTTGACACTTTGAGTGCCAAAGAAAAGTCCAAAAGAGCGTTGTTATCTAGTTCAAGTCATTGGTGTTTTTCCTTGGAGGTTCCAAGCAAGCATAGGTGGTGAACCAGCGCCTCTTTTGTTCCATCGAAGTTGATCGAGGTCCTAATTAGGAGTTCCTGATTGATCCGACTCGTCATCATCACAAAGAGCATTAAAAGCTTGGATATCAAAGATCCCTTGGTGAAAGGTAAGCAATCATTTATAATATAATTTTTATATAATAGAATTTGCCTTTATCTTATTGGCAAAATTCTTCAATAACTCCCCTGTAATTTCAAAATTAAGCGTAAAATCTCTCTATATTTTGCATGGTGTCCTCTTATACTTTCAAAAATATTGCATCAAAAGCCACTACCATTAAACCTCTATTGTGTGATGAAAAGATGATTTCATATCTATACTTTTTGCATGGTAGATAGAAGGATTTCATGCAATATATTTTAAAGTATAGCATCATATAATTTTTAAAGTAAAGTCGGGATTTACATTGAGGTTTGAAACCACGGAAGGGTTTAATGCAATATTTTTTTAAAGTATAAGGGAGCTTCATGCAATTTTTAAAGTAAAAAGAGAATTTACGTTGAGTTACAAAGCCACAAAGAAGTTTTAGACAATTTTGTCTTAAAACAAAAAAATCTATCGAAAATATTTTAAAAAGATAGAAAAGAATTTTACTAAAAAATTAAAATTTTTAAATATATATATAACTGACATAAGTCATACCATTCTCTTATATATTAAATATAAATTTTGGTTTTAGTCATTTTTTTATATTAGCCACAAGTTAATGATTTTATAGTTATTATATTTACAAATGAAATTATTTAATGAAAAGTTGTAAGAGAAATAAATAATATTTTAAAATATAAAAATTTAAATATTTTATAATTGATTTATAACATAATTTTTAAATTAGATATTATATATATTAATATTAATATATAGGTGCTCTTATTTATGTGTATATCGCAACGGTTAGAATGCTAATTAAAGTTAGTCAATTTTTATTAATTATAAGAAACACATAATAATAGTTTAGACAATATATATTATTATTGGTATCAACATAAAGTTAATATTAACATGACACAGATGCATGATACAAATTGACAGCATATAAAATAATATACATAAATAATACGGTGGAGGTTAGGGTACTGAAGAGGTTAAATGAGCACCGTGTTGATTTGAAAAATTAGCAAATTAAAATAAAGTTATTAGCAATTTATTACAAAGTAGATAAAATAGCACATTAACTTAAACAATTAGTATTTCATCACGGGATAGATAATATATGTTGTGTTGTTTTATATTATATTATTATTTGCTACTTTCTTTACAGATACTTGTTGATTCAGTTAAATTACTATTGTGTTGAAATCATAATATATATAATGAAATCAAAATATATTTTACTATATATAATTATATAATATGTTATTAAAATATATTTTATATATTATATTAATATTTGTTACTTTTCTTCATAGATATTTTTGTATTTGGTCAAATCAATAATATTGATTTGACCCAATCAACACAATTACAGGAGCAAATTATCATCGAACAAAGTATATATAATCCATTTGTCCCAATAAAAATGTCACATATTCTATTTTCATCTTATTTGGCACTTTCCTATATTTAGTAAAATTTACTAATTCAAACCGGTGGTGGTTATTGATTGATTATAGACGGCTGGATCGCGCCTAAGTTAGATCATACGGCTATTAATTCATAATGTGTATCCAGTAATTTTGAATTTACTAATTTATAATTGAATTTTACTGAAAAATGTAGAATAAGTGTTGTGTTATGTGAATATAAAGAGTACATTGGTTGTAATTTTTGTCTATTAATATTTGCTATGTTATATGTAGTTAGATGCTATATAGAAGAAAATAAAATGTGCTAAAACAATACAAATGATAAAAGGAATACCTTATAAATTGAACATATGTACAATCTAATACTTTTAAAAATAGCATATTATTAATTTAACACATATTTATATTATAAAAAGTCAAATATTACAATATAAAGAGCATAATATATTACACAACAAATGCATTAAAAATCAGGATATTATTATATTTAAAATAGCACATTATTAGTTTAACACATATTTACATTATACAAAATCAAAACTTACATTATAAAAAACATGTCCCCACACAACAAACACATTGTAAAATCAGCATATTATAATATTTAAAATAGCAAATTAGTAGTTTAGCATTAGAAAGACAAAGTTTATACAATAAAGTGCACATTTCACTATACAACAAGTACATTCTTAAATTAGTATATTGTTATGTTTAATATAACACGTTAGTGGTTTATAATATATTTATTACTTAAAGCCAAAGCTTACACTATAAAAAAACATATTTTACCACACAATAAAATGCTCAAAATTATCATATTATTAGCCCTAAAAAAGCACTTTAGTAGTATAACAAACAACACATTGTGTGTTGTCTGACAGCACACAATATTATTACAAACAATGTATTGTATATGTTAATATAATACAAATATAACACATGAACTAACCATACATGTTATAGTCTCATACAGCACACGACGGTTGATTTTAGCACATGACATACTCTTATACAACACACTTGTTATTACAAAAATAAAAAATAAAAATACATACATTTATTATACACAACATGTGCTGTATATAATAATAATAACGTGTGTTGTTTATATATATAACGTGTGCTGAGTTGAAAAATCAGTATCATGCTAATTTTTTCAATTCAACACCGTAACCATCCCCATACAATTATGCACTTTAATCATATTTTAAAATTCATAATTTATAATTTTATTTTAATTAAATTATTTAGTCATCTTAATCTTAATTTAAAATTATTTTTATTGAATAATAATTATTTGTACTAATACACTTTTTAATTAGTCACTAATTACACAATACCTAAAACTCTGTGTCTAATCTAAATAAGACAAATTAGCCAGAACGGAGGGATTATATAATTAATTTAAATTTAGCACAAGAGTTCAATTATTTTGTTCTCTTAAATGAAAATAGGACAAAAATTCACAAATTTTCAATAGTACATAGTTGAAAAAAAAAAAAAAAAGTAACCTAGATTCGACACAATTATAAAAAATATATATATAGTGAAATCATTTTTCCCTTGGTATCCAAAGTCGTTTAGTACGATATGACATTGATAAAATTATTTTTAAGTTTTGTATGTGACCATTTTTATCATTTTAAGAGTATAACTAGAGATGCATTGAATTAGTCTAATTACTAAAAAAAATTGATAGAAATGGTCTTCAGGCGTTGGAGGTGTTGACACGACAGTGTCGTGGCATGTCAGAAAATCTGTAGATGACATGCGAAGAATATTTAAGAATCATTTTAAGATCATAAATAAACTTCGTATTGGATTAGTATTATAACAAAAAAAAAATTGACTGAAATAATCCTATAGAATTGTCCACATGTCATTGACCCAATCTATGTCTGCCATGGCGTTCAAGGCCGGATTTAGCTAGGGGTAAGAGCCAAATTGAAAGATTCATGTTTGGTTCGGAAAGGGATTTTGGGGACAGCTAATGCTTGTTGGTATTTTAGTTTGATACAGTTTCATATCAAATTCTTAACTGTTGATGTGTATACCGATCAATCATAGAAGACTTTTTTTTTATTGTATAAAAATAGAAAAAAATAATTCATTTTGCTAAAGTATGCCCTCCCCAACTCAAGCTATTATTTTTGGGTTTTTTTTTTCCTCTTCTTTTCCTTCATTTTTCTCTTTCTTTCATTTTCTTCAACGCAATAATATTGTGTCAAGAGGGATAAAAAATACGGACAATTTGAAATAAATACCCATCTCTATTTTCAACTAATATTCAGTCCCTACACATATTTGGCCGACACTGCACTCCTCCATTTTTAAAAGATCTTGGCATTAACTCCCTACCTATATATCTTTTCCCATATTACCCTCATCTTCCCCAAAATCTATATTCTTATTTCTATTTTTGGACTCTTTGTTAGGTCATTTTTTCGCGCGAAGAACCAATTATGTATACCGTGGCATGGAGGAATTTGTGATCAGTGACAGATTTTTGATAGATTCCAAATCTAAATTCCAATCTTTAGGTGTGATAATTTTGTTGGTTATTTACGATGGTGTTGTTAGTGTTCGCAACCAATTCGGTAAGTATTTCACTATTGTTTTGGTGATTGTTGCTAGGTTCTATATTATGATTGCAGTAATTGCTAATTGAGTTTCATTATGACCTTTCGTTGTGACAGTATATGGAAAATATTTTGTGGGTGGCCGTGATGAGGAAGACACTGGTAAAGGAAAGTTTTGATTCCAAATTCAAATTCAAATTTTTAGGTTTATTTCGCGCGAGGAAGACACTGGTACAGGGAAAATTTGATTCCGAGTTCTCTTGCTGTGACAATTTTTTTGGTTGATTACGGTGGTATTGTTAGGGCTTGCAATTGATTTCGGTAAATATTCACTATTATTTTGATCATATTTTTCTTGTTTGAGATTATGATTACAGTAGTTGCTAACTGGGTTTCATTATGATATTTCCTTAAGATAGTATGTATCGGAAAAAGACGTTGGAGGGGGGGGGAGAGGGGTCTGTTGCGATTTTCTACTAGTATGCGCATGCATTTGTTGGGGTACTTTTTTCCGGTGTAGTATACATATATTTATTAATTTTATACCTTTGTTGTTTGATATTGTGTGCTATATTTGTTTGAAAATACTCTGGTTTTGTTGGTATATAGTATGACTATTCATCTATGAACTTTGATATTTATTTCATGTACTTGTATATTAGATAATGTTAAAATCACGTTGTTATGCAATGGTGTTTGCCAAAAATAATAAAAACTGGAAATAGTTTTGCTGGAGGTTAAGGTCTGTTTTTCATATTGGTGACGGAATTTAAAAGAATTCTTTTTTTTTTTTTTATAGACACTTGGGATTTCTAGAGTCCATCTCCATTGTATTTTTCGGAGCCCACCACTAGACACTTGGGATTTCTAGAGTCCATCTCCGTTGTATTTTTTAGAGCCCACCACGCATATTGTCTTTGAAACCTAGTGGACAACTTTTGCACTCGAGTATGTATAGAATATACGTGTCATGTATTATGTTATGTACAATAAGATAATTATATTTCATATATAATACAGAGATATCAAATGCACAATAAATAAAAAAAATGATAGAAGTTTATTTTCAACAAAGCCGGCTATGCCCCTTACAAAAGAATTTTGAGTAGGATATAACATATATTGTGGAGGCCATGCAACTTAATATAACTCCATTGCTCAATCACAGCTCTAGTCTTGAGCAATTTCTTTATTCCAAGAGACTCGTTGGAGGATAATAAATATCAATATAGCTGAATTATGAAATAGTTAGGAGGGCTCAACAAGGTTATTGCCTTTTGTCCAACTAAGCAGGAAAAATAAAAGATAGTTTGAACCATAGCAGGTGAAAATAATCTAAAAAAATATGTTCATTGTGGTCATTTAGGACACAACTGACAAAGTTGCAAAGAGGCTCTATCGTAAGTATTTTGGGCTTGTCGTCTCGCAGTTGGAATTTCCTTTCATTTTTTAAAGATTGTATATTGAATATAAATCTGTATGTGAGACCACGATTGAATGATTTGGAAATTAAATTGTATTCCCCTGTATATTACCGGACGTACATAATTACTATGTCGGGGTCCGTATCATTCCAAATTAATTCTTCTAAAGTAGAAAATAAGTTATGTGGATTCACAACGAAAATACGTTACAAGTTATTATAGTTATATAAAATATGACCATGAGTAATAAATATTAACAACGATAGTACATTGCATATGATATATTTTTTAAAATTCTACGTAATACTTGAGGTTTTATGTCCCCTAAATACTCATTATAATATAACATGACCTATTGTGTACTTTCATTGTTTATCTTAAATTACATTAACATAAACTGCATTTGTTTATGCGGTTTTTGCGACGAGATTATTATTAATATGAGTATGTTGTGACGTTCAGAGAGTATATTCATTAATACCAGAGATATACATATTCAAATAAGAGGGTACGTCTTTGTGTGTGAAAGTATTTATATTTGTATATAGCTATGATTACTGTAAATATAGGCATTTAAGTATCTTCTAGAATTTGTCATTGATTGGTGTAGGATCAAATAGCAACGAGTTGATTACATCACAACCATTTTATTAGAAGCTTGTGTGCATCAACAGATACTTATAAAACGACCTATGAGATTTCCTATCCATGTATTGAAGGGTGAGTGAGAATATCACTTATGATAGATATGTATAACATTTCATGTGGTGAGCCGTAGTAAGAGATATTTTAAAATTAATGCATAACTAATGATGTATGATATTTTGTATTGTAATTGTCCGTACAAGTATTTTTTAGAATAGGAAAAATATCCCAACAAGAATAAATATGTCAAAAGGTATAAAAAATAAATATTACGGATGAGACATATTGAACTTTTCCACAATGTACGAAATATATCTGTCATTTATATGTATATGTGAACCATAGTTATTGATGTATACAATGTATCCATCAATGCTTTCAGAATAATTTGACGAGTACATTTATTCTCAATATATGTTAAATATGCATAAAGTTACTTAAAAAATATATTTCTCAATATGAGTATTCAATCAATTCAGAAGTGTGTAAGTTAGTAAAATGATGGAATAAATATCATAATTGCGGCTGTGTGCCTTCTGCTTAGAGGTTTGTCGAAACCCAGCTATGAATTTTTGCAAACCGAAGTATATTAATTACTTATATGAGTACCTATTTTCTTCCGGTACATCTTATCATTTTATCTCAGTGTAGAAATTATGAACAGGGGTATGTATTAGAAATTTTGGATTAAATATCAAGTATACATACGTATATATTACCAAAATAAAAGTATATATAGGCAACCTTTTAAAATATCATACGTTAAATTAGATTCTATGGTGATCAATAAAATATCTGGCAAAATATAGTATTAACGGCTAAGTACCCAATGTTAGAACCACATGGTACAAATCCAAGCTATTCTTCAATTCATCCATAACAAAACACATACAAATCGTATTAACCAGCCCCTCTAGGGTCCTCTGATAAAATATTTGCAACAATTTTTGTCTTATAAGCCTTGACAACATCGATAGCATTGTCAATCTCACCACGGATAGCATCATCTAATAACAGGTCAGTCACTGGTTCAGACGTTAGGTATACCAATCAATTTTTCCATACAGTAACCCTGCAATTGACAATCTGTTAGAGTGTTTGACATTTTCGAAAACTATACATATATGAAACACATGCTAGCACATGTCGTACATTGAAATTCGCAATAAAAATGCATGTCGTTTTCGTCTCCTCTTTAAAAATCCATTATCTATCACAATATTAATTAGAGCATCGTACAACTCCCAGTTGAAGGATTAACAACAATGGTATGTTCATCTCATATTTTATCCTCATTAAGCAACAGTTACACAATATGTTAACGAAACATATATTGTATACCTAGTCATATCATCTTATTTATAGAATATTTTCAGCTAAACCGAAGGTATATGGAAAAAGGATAGGTGTACCTTAGAGCAGAAGTAATGAATTCTACAGAATAATGAAGGTACATAGCAAGAATAACAAAGTTATATACAAATATTTCACTAACCTTGATTGTTTGTTTATCCTTCTTGCTCTTGTCTTTCCTCCATCTTTCTGCTCTCCTCACATTTCAATCATTTTACTACAAATATAAACCTACAAAAATGCAAATGAAAGCACTTCTATACACAACAAGATTATTTACAATTATAAATACATCAGAATAACTCATAATCAATTTGATGGTGCAATACATTGTAAAGTGAAATAATGTGGAATCGAGGCTTGTACAAACTCAGCCAAGACACAAATAAAATAGATTTGAGCACACCACAAACTCAAAAAATTGATTCTACAAAAATATAAATTTTAACTTATTTTTTCGAACTCTACTTTAGGGAGGAAGACGTTTTCGATATTTTGAGCGGGATCGAAGTTTTCGTCGGTGAGAGGAGACTTCCAGCGACGGTGAAGCTTTCTTCGGAGAGGCTCGACAATTATTTCATCGGGTGCCTTGGTGGCAAAAGGCAGTGTGGGAGCGGAAGTATTTTGAAGAAATAAATCTATCAACAACATGGAATAATGGATTTTATTAGGATTTTATTTTGTTTTTTCAAAAATTTCTGTAACTAATTTCAGTATATAAATAAAAAATTGTCACATTGCTCTAACATTTTATATGTACAGCAAGATAAATTTAAGGTATGTAATTAAATAATGCAGGTTTATATAAAAATAACAAAAATATATACAACATTTGTTTTATTATATTGTAATTTCAAGGGTAAAATTGGTATTTAAAAAGTGTAAATTAAAACAAAAAAATAGATAATGCATTGTTTTGTCACAATAAAAAGAGACTGAACTTAAATCAAAATGCCTTTAAAAAATAATGGTGTTGTATAGTAAACTGGCATCTTGCTTCCCAAAAATTGGATGTTGATTCCGTAATTGGCGACGTTGCCATGTCAGCAATTCCGATGTTAGAGGACCGTTTCTGTCAATTTAGAGTCTAGTTATGGTCCTAAGAAGATATGTGTAATCACATGCAAAATAAATAAATAAACTAAATTAAACTATTTCAATAATTACTATATTATTTTTATTTAATCTTGTCTGTTGAATTAAGACAGAAAATCTAAGCCTTCATATTTAATTATCACAGTAACGATACTCTCGTAGTCTCCGTACGCTTATTGCCGTGGAGTACTCTCTGCCTCTGCTTATTTAATTACCTAAAATAAAAATAACCACGGATCCAACACATGGATCCATCCCGTTTAAAGCAATTACAAAATGTATTATTATGATTCCAATATCTCCCAACCATCCAAAAATCCTCCAAACAGGGAAAATCACTCTTCCCACGTCCATCCTAACCTCTATATATTTATTCCCTCCTATCTCTAACCCTAACAGCAACAACCAAGCCAAACCAATTCAACTTTCTTTCTAATTATCCCAAAATGGCCTCCAAAATCTACCTCCTTTCCTCCTCCCTCCTTCTCCTTGTCGTCCTCGTCGCCAGCGACGGCAGCCCTTCAGCCGCCCCCTCCCCCGCCCCTTCGGCCAGTCCAACGGCAGCAGCCTCACCCACGGCCGGCTCTGCGCCGTCGGGCTCTCCCACGGCGAGTTCCCCCACGTCGAGTTCGGCTGCCACGCCCTCTTCCAGCACGTCTCCCTCGCCATCGGAACCTGCCAGCGGAGTCGACGACGATGTATCACCTGCCGCAGAATCGGGACCTTCTGCTGCACCGGCAGACGCTCCAGCGGCAGACACTCCGGCGGCCGATGGAGCAGCGGCCAGCGACTCTCATAGCGCCGGGACAGCAATCCACGTTGGCCTCGCCTCTGCTGTCGCTGCAGTTTTAGCCCTTGTTTCTCTTGCCTGAAGATTTTGAATCTCTGGCGCTGCCCAGACATTGGAAGGATTTGTTCGCAGCTACGTTTTATTTATTTATATTTTTTATTGTTTGTTTCTCAGTTTTGTATCTCCCAACCGCCAGCCATACGTTGTTTATATATATATATATATATATATATATAGAAACACATTATGTTTCTTCATTTGTAGCACGACAAAGAATTTATTTTTCGAGTGAAATTAAATATTTATAATTACATCCCATCGATAAAGCTTGAAATTGATAACTAAGAATGTACACGGTTTTTAGATTTATGTGTTTTTCATATCCTCCAAGAAACTGAATGAACAAAGAAGTTAATAAAAGAGCAATGTATGGATGTATTTAATTACTTTAATAGATTGAGCCATTTTGTTAGCAATTTACACCATTTTACATAACAATGAGAAGTTATTGTTTTATTATTTTTATATGTTTAGTATTATTGTTTTTTAAATATTTTTAAAATTATATCTCAATAAAATACATATAATATAATATCATTTTATAAATAATAGAATTTTATATAATACAAATAAATTAAAAAAAATATTAATTTATAATAACTTAAAACTAATTTTATAAAAAATAAGAAATTTTAAATATATAGTATATTAATATTTGTTTATAGATGAAACAAATTGAAATAAAGATATTTTAAGTTGGGCCTAGTGTAAGAATTAGAAATTTAATTAAATTGATTTATATTTGTTAAATATATTTAAAATAAATAAAAAATATAAAAAGTCATTTTTTATGAGAAAAAAAAAAAGATCATTTACTGCAGGATGAATGAATTATATTAATTTTTAATAGATTATATAATTATGAAAATAATTAAGATCATGTTTAGCTTCTTTTTTTTAAAAAAAAAAAAATATAAGTTAATAAACGTTTTGTATAATTAATATTATTGAGATAATTAATCGCATTCAATAAATAATTATTCTTGATTACTATATTATTTCTAAACGAGGGACTCTAACCAATTAAAGTAGTGGAACAACTAGAGTGAATCAAATAGTACTATTCAACTTTGGTTAGGGTATGGTGTTGAACTATAAATTTAGCATCGTCGTGATGAATGAAGTCGAACCATTAGATGATAGATAATAAATATTAACAACATCGATTTCACCATATGAATTTTAATTAATTATTACAAATATAGAAAATATATGATTATATAAAATAATTTTCATTTATTGTGGGAATTATTTCACAAATACATAAAGAGAAAAATTATTATATCAAAATCATCCAATTGAAGAATTTTTTTTTTTTTTAAAAAAAAACCTACAATTATGCAACCTATAGATGGATCGAATTGAAGAAGAATATGACTAGGGATAGTATACCGTACCATACTGAATTTATTGAATCATACCGAATTGATCGATATATTAAAAAACATACCGGTACCATACCCAAACTTTTGGTACACCGAATTTCGGTAAGATTTCCGTATACCGAAAGTTTCGGTACAGTACCGATATATACCAATTGTACCGAAATTTTGAAATTTTGGTAGGATACCGGTATATACTGTTTAGTTCGGTATACCGAAAATTTTAGTATGATACCGGTATATGCCGATTGTACCGAAAATTTGAAATTTCGGTACAATATCAGTATATACTGTTTATACCAAAATTTTCTTGTAAATACAGAAGCACAAAATCTTAAAACATGATTAGTAGACATACAACAGAAGAATAATTAGATAATACAACAACAACATTGTACTTTAAAACACAATTAACAATCGATCAAACAAGGGTAATTATCTAACTAACATACACAAATCAGTAGCAGCAAGCCAACAACAAACATTATCTAAAAGCAAAATCAGTTTATAACAGACAACAAACAATATATATATATATTGCCTTAAAAACAGCTGCACACAACACTATACCTTAAAACACAATTAAGAAGCATTCAAAGATAATGAATAAAGAAGCAAAACAACATCAACGGTAAACACACATCCTCTTAAAACATAATTAGTTTGCGCCACATAGCAACATTCACAATACACATTTTGTCTTTAAAAAGAATTAGCAACCACTCTATTCCATAATCCATACTACGATTCCGGCTCCGGTTGTTTCAATTGATCCAAACTACTTCCTTTCTATCATAGTCACCGCCCACACGGCCATACCTATCAACAATATTGAAGTTTTTTTATACCAAATATTAAAACATTTCAATAAGTTTAATACATAAAAATTTCAAAACTTACAAATTTATTAGAGAGACAATTTTTTTTTTTTTTGTAGTTGGGATATGATCTTGAATATCTTTTGCACCTGTAAAAAGATATAAAATTTATTAATGTATTTTAAAAATATAAATAATATAAAATTAAATTTATTTAAACATAATAATAATACTAATAATTAAATCCCTTAATCACCTCAATTTCTTCAATTTCTTTCTAAAATTCTAGATCATCATCGGTTGGATCCTTAAAGAAATTCATCTCATCATCTTTCAACCAATCACTAGTGCACACCGATGTTTCTACCATTTTAGAATTTAAATTACTTCTAAAAAGATTCACAACTCGTTTTGTCAAACTAAAAACAAACTCACTAGCCAACGTTGAACTTGAAATTGTAAAAATATCTTTTGCAACCATTGTAAGGACATGATACTTAGTTTCACTTCCCTTCCATCACTCCAAAAGATTGAAAGATGGATTAGATTGTTTCTCAATATCATCTGCTAGATATTTATCAATTTTATTCTAAATCTCTTCATGATGTTCTTTTTAATTTTGTGCATTCACATTCAAACAATTCATCACAAAGATCACCGCCACCGGCGCTAAAACCATCTCCACTACTACATTCTATCTCCATATTTTGTTCTCCCACACTTGAGGTTTCATTCATTCCCTTATAATTTGTCCACAAAATCACCAAAATTTTTTTAACTATATCAATCACTTCGTGGATCTTTTCAGAAGATCCTCTCAAAATTTTGATGCTCCCTTTGATCACCTGAAGCTTGTTTCTTGGGTCCAAAATATTGGCAATGAAAATCAAAGGATTCATGTTATCCCAATTTCCGCAATACTTATCAAATTTCAGTTTCATTGCACCTGCAACCTTTCTAAGTGTTGGATCGGAAAGGTCATTGCACCTTTTTTCAATTTCAATCTAGAGTCCAATCAATGATTGATCAATTAAGAAGTGAGAGTTTTTTATGCACTTAGTTCTAAAGTAGCGTCGTAGAACTTCTTCAAAAAGTGTTTAAAGGCTTTTGCATTTTCTCAATCCCCCTTGTTTGGTGGCTCTACCCTTTCTTTACCCTTTTCGCTCTTTTCAAAAAAAATAGTTCATAAAAGGCACTCATTCTTCAGCCATCCTCTCAAACACCCTTCGATACTTCAATGCAACATCAAGCATTTTATAAGTAGCATTCTATCTGGTTTTCACATCCATAAGCACTGTTGATGTACTAGCAAACTTAGCTAGAACTATAAACTATCTAAAATTTATTCAATCTTGAAAGTGAAGAATGAATAAAATGAACTGCATTCCTGATGGACTTAATTGATGCATCAGTTCTTTCAAACCATCTTTAACAATTAAGTTAAGAATATGACATAAACACCTCAAATATAAACATTTTCCTTCAAATATTAACATATTTTTCATTTTCATTCTCCTTTTCAAATAATCAATGGCGATGTCATTAGAAGATGCATTGTCAACTACAATTGAAAAAACTTTTTCTATTCCCCTTTCTCTCAAGCAAACTTCAACGATTCCAATTTCTTCCCCAGAATGACAAGTAATTCTTGTAAAACTAATTATTCTTTTATGCAATTTCCATTCTCTATCTATAAAATGAGTTGTGACTACCCTATAATTTATATTCTGAATAGATGTCCAAGTGTCTGTAGTGATTCTCACTCTTTGACCATTGATTGCAAGTTTCATCTTAGCTTTTTCCTCTAAGAATAAATCATAAACTATATCTGCAACCTTTCGTCGATTAGGGAGTTTGAATCTTGGTTGTAATTCATGCACAAATTTCATAAACCCTTTCTCTTCAACCGCTCAAAATGACACTTCATCGCTAATTACATACTCAACAAACTTCAAAGCACACCTATTTTGCAATAATAAAAAAGAGGTAACTATTTATAATAAAAAATTTCAATATTAAAAAAATAATACTATTTGCAATAAGAAATAAAAAAATGTTTAATGCACACATTTTTTTATAGAAAGAATGTGAAATCAATTAACTTCCTTGTCTCATTCCTAGAGACTCATACGTCAAAACACATTGTTTTTCTTTGTTTTCAGCTCCTTAGGTATAACGGACTTAATTTACACTTTTTTACTAAATGGTTTTTCATTCCACTTGTACTTTCATAAGTAATAGGAATCTCAGTTTTGCAATAATTGCACATCCCGGTTAATTGCTTGCTTCTATCACTTGCTATTCGAACTCCATTTTTCACAATGCAACCAATATTGACTTCTTTATTTAGGAGCTATAGGATGCTTTCTTAAATCTTATCTTCCTCACTTACGACAGGAATACTCATCAGGTATCTCACTAGTTGGAGTGGGCAATAAACTTGAAGATTCAGACTTCATTCTAAAGAAAAAATAATAATAATAAAAAAGTTAACAAGTATTGCAATTAATAAAAACTTAAACTAGCAAAATACTTATAAGTCATAACATACTGCAATTATAATTTTTCATTAATATCAAAATTTTAATTTTGACAGCATAGAACTGCATCTAGTCTATATATAATATATATATTGTATCCAAGAGCACAATATAAGTCATAACATTCTGAAATTGAAATTATAAATTTCATCCATGTTAATAAAACCAGAAACTTCTTCTAAACTTACTTCAACACATACTCACCCACTCACTCACCATTATATGTTTGCCCATATATATATAAATTTGTATCCATTAATTTTCCTCGTTAACCAAAACAAATTAAATTACTGCATAACTACTACTAGCCAAGAAGACAATAATACAAGACAGAAACACAAGTTTTGAAAAAAATTACAGAAATATATAAATAAAATTAAAAATAAAATAAATACAATAAAAGAAACAAAATATAAGAAACACAAATCAACAAAAAAGAGACATTGGGAAAGAATGTTATGCTCAAACCTTGGTCTTGGGAGAAATTATTTAAACTTGTAGTTTCTTTGC